TTTATTCATGAAAAACAACCTATAATTTTGTGCTACAGTCTATAAAAGCTCTTACTGTAAATATATTAGATATCATTTTTATACTTACCCAGAACTCAGTATGTTCTTTTGCAGTACAAAATTGAAAGTTTGGGACATTGAAACTGGATAGGAAGAAAATACCAAAAGATTGATAAAATAAATAAATAAATAAACATAAATAAATAATTTTCTTTAAAAAGGAGAGAAATGTAAGCATATCAGAGAGGAAAACTCTCCACTATAAAGTGGAAAGACATAAAAGGTATCGCCTTAGTGTTAACTATTCATAATGCAGAAATTATAGAACTTGGAAGAATAAATGATACTAAAAACTTACACTAGTGGTTAATGATATAATTCTATGGTGGTAGTGTTAACAAGGTTGGCCAACATCTAACAAGTTATCCTGTAATCACAAAGTGAGGGAAAATAAAAATTAAATTTTATAATTAAAATTTATGCACCTTCAGGACCAAACAATATGAAATTCTTTTATTTGTTCAAAACAAAGGAGTTCAAAAAGTCATTTATAATTTAGATTTGGTCTAATAGAACAAATTGAAAAATATGGAGTAGTGAAAGGTAACCAGGTTGTCCAGCATCAATGTCTTCCCTATCATTTTTAGTGGGTGGACATTTTTGAACTTATACTACTCACATATACCAAAAAAGAACCACAAAGTCAATACAGCAATATAAAATGTATTGTTCAATTAAAAATAATAATGCAAAAAGAAATCAGAAGGGACAAAATACTGTAACAGAAAATCCGACCCCCCTAGCCAGTATACTTCTACTGCCCAGATAATAGTTCCTGTTATAGCTCATTACTTCTGTCTCCTAGAATCTGCTGGTCATTAACTGCCAACTAAGATCAGGGCCTAATATTTTGGGATTATCCCAATGAGTGCCTGTTGATATAAAATAAATCTGCCTCCAAATCCTGAGTGTTGTCTCGGTGTTTCTGTAGCCATTGCAATACTACTGTCCAGATTGTAGCATTTCAGTGTGTTGAATGCTTTGAAACATACCATACATAGAAAAATTACTGAAAGAATTTGATAAAATTGTCATTTTTCTATTTCCTGTTATATTCTAATATAAAAATTAATTAGAAAACATCCAGTTTTTGGTAATCTTGTAATTGAATAATTGGAATCCTAAGTACTTAAAAACTCTCACATATATGCAGCAAAAGTCACATACTTGAATGTTCAATACACCATCTTTGGTAGTATAAAAAACCATAGAAACCAAATATTCAACAGCACAGAAGAAATGCATAGAAACAGCGATGAAAGTAGACAAATTTTAACTTCAAGTATCAAAATAAATATTTATCAATTATTTAGTGTTATATGAAAAGCAAATTACTTTAAAGTATAACATTTTATTCTGTCTAACATGAATTATAAAAGTTCCTTTACCAAATTGTGACAGTAGACGTTACTAGTGCTCACTGACACCTGATCATCTTTCTTTCCATGAAGTTCATGAAGGCATTTTTTATGAAGACAATTTTTTTTGTTCTCTTACAAGCAGGTGAAGTCATCTACTTGATTCCAGACAATGGGAAATTTTAGATGTAGGCCTGAAAGTGCAGATGTGACATCCCTGACCTTCTCTTTCACATTCACTGCAATTTAACAGACTATGGACGTCAAAGTGCATCTTCAAGCGGGTAAAACTTGCACGGAGTGAATGTGAAGTAGTGGCTACTGACCTGAGAGGACTGAGGCTTTCATAAGACAAAAAAAAAAAAAAAAAAAAAAACTTTGTTATCCTAAAATACAAAGATGTAGGGATTGTTTATTATTACATCAATTACTACATCAAACTATTGCAGCTGGCATATTATTCTCTACATATTGTTCCTAAAAATTAGAGTTTCACTTCACATTTAAAGCATTGATGCATTTGGAATTGAGTTTAATAATAGGGTGTAAGTTAGCGATCCATAATCATCTTCCCAGATGAATACTCAAGTTATTCTGGAGCAATTTATTAAATAGCTAATTATTTTTCCATTAATTTGCAGTGCCAAAACAATTTACTGTGCCAAAGCTGTCATATATCCAATTTCAAAAAGTCCACTATGTGAATTCTGCTTCATTCTAATTTGTTTTTCTAACTTTGCATTGATATTAGCTCTCTTAATTATTGCAAATTTATAGTAGGTTGTGAGTCCTGAAAAATTATCCTAGCTGATTCTGACTCTTCTTTTTTTGGTAGTTAGTTACTTTTATTTGTTTGTTTTTGTGTGGGAGGTGGTAAGGATTCAACCAGTGACATGTATACTAAATGCTCACATATTTTTATGCTCAAGAAATATTTTGTATACTCTTTTTTACTACTTTTGATGAATTTTACAATCAGTTCACTAATGTTCAAATATACAAATAAGTACATAACTTTGAGCAAAATTAGTGCTGCCATGAGATATTGATGATTTCTCTAGTAATAAATTTTAATAAACATTTGTGTTTTATTATAAAGTCAATCATAACATACTTTGTTATACTTAGTCTTAGGTAACCAAACTTATGTTTGGTTGCTATTATAAGCAGTGTGTTATTGTGTGTGTGTGTGAGTGTGTGTGTGTGTGTGTGTGCATGTATGCACAATTTAAAAGTTAATGTTACATTCAGAATAAGTGTAATGCATCACAGAATTTTTATTTTTCATAATGCATTAGTATATTTGGTTTTATTAATTTACTCAATTTGTATGTCTCTATGTTCATTAAATTCACATTTGGCTCTATTTAAAATTATTCACCTTCAAACCTTGCCTGGAACATAATATTAAAATAAGAAAGTCCTCCCACTTAACTTTTTTTTTTAACTCTAGGAATGTATTTGGGAAATTTCGTATTTTCAGTACATTAGGTATTTTCCAGAAATCCACTGAAAATTATTTGAATTGTGGAGGTATATAAAGAAAGATTTTAATCCACAGATTCATTTTGTATATTAGTTAATCTTGATTATAAACTTGATAGCCATGAGAGATGCCTAGGAGACTACTAATTACATGGTGCTGAGTGCAGATTACAAGGATGTGACATTTGGATTCTATCTGGTTGTCCCTTCGTCAAGGACTCTTTTCTTGCTCTCAGTGTCCCAGATACCATGACATGAGCTCCTTTAGCTTGCAGTGCCCTTGTGTTATAGTGTCTCAGTTTTGGAGCCAGCCAACCATGCCTGAAACCATAAGCAAAAGTAAACCTCAAAGTTGTGGGTGTCAGGTATTTTGTTCCAGTAATGCAAACACTGACCAATGTACTTTGTATTACATTCATCTAAAATTTTCAAATTTTGTTAATTTATGTAATATTGCTCAGATACATTATATTACCCACTTCTGATTTTTCATGTTTGTTTTATAATTTTCCCCCTAATTCTTGTACAGGCATGCTTGATTATTTTTTGGTGACATTTTGTGTGTTCCTTTTTGGTCAGGCTCTATTATACTTGAATTTTTCAAAATTTTTGAGACTTGTCAGAAAATGTAGTTTTCTAGAAATTCTTTGCATTCTAACTCAAAATCCAAACTAATGTGAGCCTGGTAGGGAGTTCCCATAGGAAAAATGTTGGCCAGAGCTTTACTTAGGGACCTACTTAGACACCTACAGGCCATGTGCTAATGGCTTTAGGTGTCTTGCTCCAATCATAATGCATTCTTATGTGATTGTGCTTTTTTGATCTTTCACAATTTCTGAAGAATTTTTATTTCTCATATGTCCAGCCATAAATTGAAATATACTTGAAAAAAATGATGCAATACTGAGAGAGTTATCTGAATACTGTAGGTGTTTGACCATAAGGAAGGTAATACATTGATATGTAATTTTCAATCTTATTTCTACTAATTTATTTTTGAACTTAAGATAGAATTTTTAGTTCATCTATTGTTTTCAGAATGAAAATCCTACTACATAATATAGAACCAAAGGAGATGATTACCTGTTTCGGAATCTCTGAGCTAGGAGAAACAATACATTTTAAAATTACTTGGGGATCTAGTTTCCTCTACCCACTTCATCTACTCAGCCAAGAAGAGATTAGATTCTCTATCTGTAATTCCAAGAATAATGAATAGATACTGATGAACAGTACAAGGCTCTGAGAAGTGGCCCTATATTTTGCCCATCTACTTTGCTCAATAATTGATTGAAAAGGAATGAATATGTCTTACAAAAGAATTTTCCTGAATTCCCAGTAGCCAATAGGGATCAATCAATCTGGCATGAGAAAATGAATTATGAATGGATATTTATCATATATGTGCCTATGAAGAGGTTTCCAAAGGATGGTTAGTTTCCATCCTTTTGAGAGAAAAGTAAAAGCATCTGAAGCAAAAAAAAAGTCAGAATCCATTTGTGTTCCAATGAGCAGCACATGGAGCACATGCTACTTTAACCAGTCAAAGGATATCATAATGGTAAAAAGACAATTTCTCAGAGTAAACTCAGGGCATGACCCCACCCAGGTCAGTAGTGAAGCACTAGCAGCTTCTCCTTGTTAAGGGTATAGAATTTCAGCCTTTGATCCAGGTTCATTAAACTGCACTTTTTCCCCAATAAGATCCCATAGATGATAGCAACAGTCAGTGAAAAGAAATGACTTGATAAGACAAAAATATCTCCCAGAAAGTGATGCCAGGTAACTTCACAGTGCTGAACACTTGGCTCTGTGATTATTCATTAGCATTATGGAAGAGCTTTTTGAGCAACCAAGACATGTAGAGAAGCCACATTTACAAGAAAATTATATCAGGGAAATCTGTTTTTAAAAAAGTTTTCTTTTCTGTATAGCCTGAAATTTGTAGTTTACATGGAAACTTTATTTCTCCAATTAATGTAATTTAATTATTTAAAAGGAATTATGTTATGCAACACTCAAGTTCTCTCAGCATTTAGCCTAGCATGTTTCAAAAAGAATATGTTCAATAAATACTTAAAAGTAAATTTAAATACATTAATATTAATTGTAAACTTTATTATGAACTTTTTTGTAAATATTAGTACATGAAGAAATATGCATCAATAAAGGAGTAAACAATAGAGTAAATTTCAAACTTTTTTCAAAATTTATCTTGTTCTGTAACATCTCAGAAGGCTGACTGAATACATCCAGTCATCTATTTGGAAATGGAAATCCAATATGGAGTTGACCTCTTATTAATAAACAAAACAAAACAACAATAGAACATATTTTCCATCATAATCACTAATTACTGAGCATCCATTCCTTTTCAGAAAGAGAAATATTAAAGTTCACTCAGGATCATGCTGCCTTTTTCATATTCTTAAAAGAGGATGATTTTTATCTTTCTGAGTAGATTGTCACCAGTCTTTTTTCCCTTCCCACAGTTCCAGTAACTTTTTGTGCTAAGCACAACAGTGAAGATGAGTGTCTTAGTTACTTTTTACTCATCGTTGAGACAAAAGACCTGATGCCCAAAGTTGGGAACACAAATGTTTATTTCCTACAGTTTTTGGAGGTTTCAGTCCATACTCAGTTGGCTCCAAGGCTGGGTGGTATGGTGGGCCTTGGTTCATGGTAGCTGCAAGCATCAAGGCACAAAGCTGAAGGAGAGAGAGACACACCTTCTTTCTGTCATTACATTGTATGCTGGCTCCACCCCTGGGTGGGTGTAGCACTGCCACCATCAATACAAGTGCTAGACAATGAACCAATCATAAATGCACAATGTGAATGCATGAGGCCTGAGGGGCACTGACATAACCATGACATTCCACCTCTAGCCCCCAAAGACTCATGTACATCCTTTATACAAAAGACATTTAGTCCATCTCCAATGTTGCCAAAGTTCTAACATTTTCAGCATTGCTGAGAGGTCTAAGTCCCAAATCTCTTCTGATATCTATGGCAACCTCTTAACTGTAGCCTCCTGTATAAATGAAAAAAGGTTATACATTTCTGAAATGCAAATGCACAAGATAAGCACTGCAATTCCAAAAGTTACAAACAAGGGAATATAAAGCATTGGAAACAAAGCAAGTCCAACATCTCACAGGGTGAACATTAAGTCCTACATTTCCATGCTCAGCATTTGAAGCAATCTGGCTGCAAGCTCCAAAAGGCTTGGGTGATTTCACCCTCATGGCACTTCCAGGGATTTCAGTCCCACAGCTTCTCTCTCTTAAACCCTCTCTTCCCGCTTTTTGCAACTTTCCTTGGATGATTCATGTTCCTGGCTTTTCCAAACTTCTGGGGTTTCCATTGCATCTTTGGCTTCACCCTTACATCTTCACAAATTGCCCTCTCAGGGGCACACTGCTTGGCCTCCCAGGCCCTTTGCAATTAAGGTAGAAGCTGTCTTACCCTCCAAATTTGTGCATTTTCCTTGCACCTAACATAAGCACTATGTGTATGCCACCAAAGTTTGCTGCCAGCTAGAGCTGTAGCCAGGCTTTTCAAAGTGCATGGATTACTGGAAGCTGTTTTCCTGATTGTGAGGAAAAGCTTCTCCATGTTGCTGCCATTCTGGAATCTCATTTGACTGCTGCCATTCTGGAACCTCTCTTGTCAGTTTGGAGCATGGTGCTGTGAAGCTTTCTCCTCTCAGCAAGTTCTTTCACTTTTGCAGTTTGAGGCTGCAAAGGACAGAGACCTACTGCTTCCTGGGATGCCCTCTGGCCATCTTTCTCATTTCTCTGTTCCTTTTCAGCAATCGAAATCTCAGCTCTATCTTTACAATGCACAGCTTTACTGGAGTTTTCCTTCTGGCCAAACTCACAGCTTTTAAAATTATCCTGGGGGGCTCTTCTTGATTTTCAACATATATCTGGCTAAAAGCCCCCAAAATAGCCATGCCACCACCTCCACATTTGACAGCCTTGAAATTTCCTTTGCCAGATTAATCAGTCCATTGCTCTTAATCTCAGCCTCAGGTAATACCTCTTGGCATGAGCAAATGCAGACAAACTCTTTGCCAAGCCATACACACATCATGGGAAGTCCAACAACCAATGAGTCCTTTTTCCCAGAAGAAACCTTCCAAGCCTGGTCATCAGGCTTTCTATCAGCCTTCTGGTCTCCTGAACTCTGACCAGAATCTCCTCTACAGAACAGCCTAAGCTGCTCCAGCTCTATGCATACAGGTAACATGTCTGAACTTTTCCATTTCTACCCAGAAGCCATTTCCAAAGCCTCTCAAAAAACATGGTCAGGTATAGTCACAGCAATGACCCATTCCTTGGTATCAAATTCTGTATAGTTATTTTTCATTCATTGTTGAGACAAAAGACCTAATGCCCAAAGTTGGGAACACAAAGGTTTATTTCTTACAGTTTTTGGAGATTTGGGTCTATACTCAGTTGGCTCCAAGGTTGGTTTGCATGGGAGGCCTCAGTTCATGGTGGCTGCAATCAATAAGGTGGATATTCGAAAGAGAGAGAGACACACCTTTCTGCCATTACATTGTATACTGGCTCCATCCCTAGGTGGATATAGTGTTGATACAATCAATCCAGCATGAGCCAATCACAAATGCACAATGCAAATTCATGAAGCCTGGGGTCCACGGAAATAAGCCCTGACAATGAGAGTCCCTTGAAGGTCATGAAACTCCTCCCAACATCAAATAGGGAGAAGAGCATGCCACTGATTTAAGATGAAATGCTCTTAAAATGACCTTTAAAGAGAAACAAGAGTGATCATTAAATGGTATCTTCCCAGCTGTGGTATCAGTTTCACAGGCTTTTTCATAGAAAAAGCTGCAATTTTAAGAACTACCTACTATTTTGCCTCTATTTTTAGATTATTGGTCTAAATATCTAAAGTTTTGTACATTGTAATAACTGTATAGATTGAAACATGGAAGTGTACATACTGATTTGCTACACAGTCTTGAAAAAGCTGTGGTGCCTTGTACAGAATTTTACAAAATTGGGTCAAAAGATGAAATTTTTACTTAAGAAGAACACATACATGGCTAGCCAGAGTAATCACCAGGAAAGTACGTTAAGATACATGTGCTGAGGAAATAGAGCAAGACGGCTTGTGAACAATTTTTGCTCTTTGTGGAGAGGAATTACTAGAGAAATAAGCAGTTTGAGATTTAAGAGGACACATTTGGTAGGAAAGTGCTTGCATTTCTTTGCCATAGAAGTGTTAATGATAATTTAAATCTTAATTTGCAAAGAATGCATAACAGTCCCTGAGATATCACTAATAACTATAAAGTTATTAGTTGTGTCTATCTCCTACACTTCAAAACTCAATGCAACAGAAAATACATATTCAAAAAAATTTAGAGTTGTGTAGAATTGAGTATTAAATGATGAATCTGTTTAATGTTCATCATATTCCACCATTGCATCATTTCATATCATAATGAAACATTATGTATTATATCATTTCAAATTTAAATATATTGCTTTTTACAAAGGAGAGGATCTGAATACAATTTTTGTGGAAAGTAACTCTATTTCTAAAATATTTTAAAGTTACTGATAGAGTTGCTATTTATTTGAAATGAGGTGTTTTGAAAGTCAAGCAAAAAGTTGAACCTATAACAGCTTTTCTGCTACTGAAACTCCCCCAAATACAATGAATAAATATGACTAGGTTGTGCTCGTAATGTAAAGAAAATACTGACTTCACACTCCACTGAAAACTGTGTTGATTTGCAATGTATTTCCCTGTTTTACTGTTTATGCATGTGGCCAATGTGAAAATTTTCATAATTATTAAACTAGATTCTTCAACCTTTTAAAAATGGTTCTACATAATACATTTAAAAATGACTCTAATTAGGAATCTATGAATATGATACATAACTGTCTTTACTAAGAGGTTATATTCACAGAGATTCTTACCACAATAGAATTAAAAACAATTGTTTTACAGGAAAAGTCAAGTAAACTTCCAGCTTCTCCGGGGAGTATATGTAAAGCATTTCAAGAAATTCTTATTAGTTCTTTACTTTTACCTATATTTTCACAAAGATATTTCATAAATATCTTTAATAATCTTGGTAGTATTGACTTAAATGCTTAAATTCTTGAGATATCTAGTTCTAGTTTTTATTTTCTTATTCCATACAATTAAATAAAAATTTCCACCTGTGAAATGAGCAAATGATTGGTGATAACTATAGAATTATCCAACAGATAGTGCTTGGGCTGATAATAGCAGATCTAGTACATTTTTAAAGATTATTATCTTCTGTGAAAATCAATCATCTGTTGTATATTTTGTGGTGTAATGGAGATGAAATATTATCTATTCATTAATCATTTTTATAGTTCTTTGAGAATATCATGAATAAATGACATATAGTTTACATGCAAATATATCTATTTTTATATAGGTTCTATTTACCCACTGAGGTTGATTTATTTATAAATAGACAATTTATATCAATATGGTAATTATATCTATCTCCCAAGACTGATGTAATTATTGAAAGGATTAATTCTAGTAAAAGTGCTAAGGATATTACTTGATACATAAAAATTTCATCAAGGAAAATTACAAAATGGGAAAAAATATTGGAAAACTGCATCTGATAGATTAATAACAAAATATAGAAAAACTACAAACAGCTCAATTACTAGCAACTGGTCCAGTTAAGTATGATCATTAGCACTAACTAGACATTTCTTATAGGCCAATTAAAGATAGACAATAGGCATATAAAAATGCTCAGCATTCACTAATCATCAAACAAAGGTAAACCAAAACCTTAATGAATATCACGGCATCTCAGTGAAAGTGATATTATCAAAAATACTAAAGGTAAACTGTATTAGCCTGGGTATGCTATCATATAATATTTGTTCCATCTGATTGGAAGCTGTTGCACAATGTTGGTGAAAACATAAATTAGTATAACAATTGTGGTAAACAGCATACACGTTCCTTAGAAATTTAAACATAGACCTGCCATTTCATCCAGTAATTCCACGGGAAAAAATATATATATGCTATTTGTAATGTTTCATGAATATAAAATCAATATGCCAAAAAGACAATGGGAAAACTCATGTTCACAGCAACACTGTTAATAATCATAATATGAAAATAATCAGAATGCCCATCCACTGGTAAAGAAAACTGGTTCATATACAATCCACAGTGGAATAACATTCAGTTAAAAAAGGAAAATTCTTTAATTTGCTCTAATGTGGATGAAACCAGAGATTATCATGTTAAGCAAAATAAGCCAAACACAGACTAATGCTGCCTAATTTAAGCCTTATGCAGAAACTATAGAATTAGATCTCTCAGAAGTTGATTTTAAAAAAAGGCAGTTTCCAGAGGTCAGCGTGGAGACTGGGAACAGATAAGGAAGCGTTGATCAATGGACAAATAAGTTATAGTTACATAAACAAAATTACCCTGTTCTCCTGCACAGTAAGGTAACTATATATTTTTTTAAAATGTGTATATTTTTAAAGCTAGAAGAAAAAGTTTTCAGTCTTTTATCATACAGAAATGATACATGCTTGAGAAATACTTATGTTTAGCCTGATTTGAACATTATGCAATGTGTACAAGTATCAAAAAATCACAAGGTATGGCATATATATGTAGAGTTTCTGCACATCATTAACAAATACTCTTAGTAAAACTGGAGCTGGATATACATAAGTAGAAGATTATAATTACATCCCTATGTCTCACCTTGTACAAAAATTACTTCAAAATTAATCAAATACCAAAATACTAGGTATGAAACTTTGCTTTTCTTTCATTGTTTAAATTTTTATTTTGTATTAGTACATATTTAAGTACATAATGATCATATTCCCTGTAGGAAGTTCGTACATACGTGTAACACTTATTCATCCCATTCTCTTCCCCTCCCATCATTTCTTGGTCATCTTAACTGCTGCAAAAGAGCTACCTCCCTGTTTCCTCCTATCTTTTATTTTGTTTTTTACTTTTATTTGGTTTCCTCACATAAAAGAACTCATATGATATTAAGTTTGCCTGTCTGATTTATTTCACTTAACATTATGGTCTCACAAAGTATCCATTTTCCTAGAAAAGCCTAGAGTTTAGCCTTCTTTATAGCAGAGCAGTATTTGGTTGTATGGAAGTACCACACTTTTTTTATCCATTCATTTGCTGATAGACCTAAATTTTGAAACTCCTAGGAGAAAATGTAAAGGAAACACTTGAGGCCCTAGGTAAGGCACAAGCAAATAGAACTCGAATAACACAGGAAGTAGTGGTACAAATTGATGAATGGAACCATGTTATTTTAAAGAAACATCTGCAAGCAAAGAATTTAACAGAATGAAGAAACAGGTTATAGAATTGAAGAAAAATCTTCACCAGCTGCTGACAGAAGAATAATATGCAAAATATGTAAAGAACTGAGCAATTTTAACATGACAAAAATAAAATAAATCATTTAACAAGTGGACCAGCGAATAGAACAGAGAGAAGAAATACAAATAGTGATTCAGTGCATAAAAAGATCCTTAGTTTCTTAAGACATCAGGGGAATGCAAATCAAAACCACAGAGATTCCATCTCATACCTGTCAGAAAGGTTATCATAAAGAATACAAAATCAAAAAATTGCTATTGAGGACGCAAGAGAAGGAAGCTCTTATACACTGGTGGAAAAATGAAAATTTTGCCAGTGTAAAAATAAGTAGAAGTTCTTCAAAAAGCTAAATATTCGAGATACTATGTGGTCTGTCTATTTCATTCTTTGTTATATTAACAGAACAAAGTAGCAGTGTTACAAGCAGCTGAGTTAGAATTACTATAGCCAGTGAGACAGGAGGAGAAGCTCAGATGCCTTGTAAATGTAGAGCAGACGGACACCTTCTGCTGTGGGCCAGGCCTCAAGACAAAAGATCAAACAAATGCACCCATATCCCAAGGACTAATATTCTAAATAGTTCAGTATCGCCCTGAGGAAGTCAGGAGTCACCATCCCAAACCCCTAGGGAAGAGCCACTGCTCTCTAAGAATGCCCGCTTTCTATGTGACTCACCTCCTCATTTGTTCCCTATGCAATCAATTTTATGTGAACAATTAACCTTATTGGTTAGCCACAGTTCGGTGCCACTTTATACCCATCTGCCTTGCAAGTTCCCAGTTTTCCTCACCTTGAACCCCTCTCACCCCATGACATCACTCTGTAAAAATCCCTACAAAACACAGTCTTCTGTAATCTACCAGGGACCCCTGCTGTCCCTCAGACAGAAGCTTTCTTTCTCAGTAAATATATTCTGCTCTTAATCTCCATTGTTCCTAAAATTCATTTATCAGTTTTAGAGAATATGAACTTGTACTGGACATACAGTAGATTGGGAGTTTCATTCCCCTATATCAACAGTACTATAAAGAAACCTGAATAATTATATTTATGGCAGCCCAATAATAAGTTTTGGAAGACAGATGTATAAGGAAAACACATGACATATATGATACATGACATATATATATATATATATATATATATATATATATATATTTGTGTGTGTGTGTGTGTGTGTGTGCAACAGAGCACTATCCAACAGAGCACTATTATGAGGAAGAAAAACCTATCGATTGCAGGAAAATGCATGAAACTGGAGTTCATCATTTTAAGTGAAATACACTAGACTCAGAAAGCCAAATATTGTGTATTTTCTTCATATATGGAATATTAAAAATACATGGAGAAGATAACATGAAAATAGATTAGAATATCAGAAAAGTAAGAAAAAAGGAACATGGCAGAAGATAATAGGAAAAAATAATCCAATTATGTAATATATATGCATGAATCTTCCAAAATGAAACTCATTAATCTATGCAACTAATATGCACTAGTAAAAAAAGGAATGATTCTGAAATATTTAGAATGTTTTTTCGTAATTCTTAAACCATTAAGAATGGGATAGGACCATTTAGATAAAAATTTGATTGAGTTCTCAGCCAGAATTATTTCTATTTCACAGAAAAATGATATCAATTCAGTGTCCCTACCTCTTGCTGGCCGGCATTTTGATTTCACTTGCAGAGATCAATTGTTGGTCTGTATACTGTCTGATTTAAGCACACATACACGTATGCTTAGTAGTGAAAGGGCTTTGTAGAACACACCACAGGAATCACATTCTACTACCAGGGTAAGTTGGGACTCTGTAAGTGTCCTAATAGCAGTAGGAAAATGTATCCATATATTTACTTCCTTCTGGAGATTTTCAGTTGGAGATTCCCCATAGGCTGAGATTTGTTTCATCAATATATAAGTCTCTTGCCCCCAGATGTCTGGACACTGTGGGAAGATGATGAAGAACAGTTAATGTGACATACAGTAAAAGCATTTTGACATATCTCCTTTCTTTCCCAATGAATTGCTGCATGAAAAATAGAAACTTAGAGCAAATAATTATGCTAATAGTGGCTCTGTTAGATCAATTGGCAGAAATTAAGGTTGAAAGATAAATATTAAACATTAAAAGCATATTTGAAATTTACTGATTTTAATTTTGGTCTTTAAAAATAAAAAAAAATGAATTTGGATGCTCTTGTGTTTCACTGTGCTTTGATGGGAGCCACTGGAGAAAGAAACTGAGTCACATTCAGCTTGTGTCACTGGCGCCTAATAAAGTTCCCAGAGTATGAAAACATGCAAAGGGTCTTTGTTGGATGAGTGAATACTCATTTGAAGGATAGGAACACTAATAATACCAGACATATGCAGAAGTTAATACTGATGTCTTGCACCCAACTATATCATTAAGACTAATTTACAATCTTAAATTGCCATTTTAATTTTCTTTTCAAGCTGAAAATTTGTCCAGACTGAATTATTTACTCCCTCATTGACTCCACAGCCTGTATTGCCCGTATTTCCCTGCCAATTGAAATTATAAAACAAGTGCACTTTGTTATTTAATTGTATGCTATTTTTAATACACAAAGATTCCCATTTTACTCCACATTTATTTTTACTCTTCAGCAAACGCTGTCTTATATATCAATCAAGGAACACAGATGTGGTTTTAATAGAGACAGTAACTGTATTTCCTGTGTCAGAATGTGTAAAATGTTTCCTAGGACACAAGTGAATTCATTCCACTCATGCTAACACTGAATATCTGGGCTATTTCATTACTGTTCGATATTTCAGTATATGAAAACACAAAGGTGGAGATTGATCTCAAATAACATGTTGTGTCACAGAATTCATGAGAAGCCCTCATTAACATAAGAATGTTTTGGAAACTGAGATTTGAGCTAGTAGAAATATGTTAAAATCAGCAAAGACATTTCCAAAAATTTATCTTTGAGATACCATGGAATAATTTTAGTACACTGAGATTTCCATACTTTGTCCAGAAGATAAACAGTACATGTTTAGGTAGCTAGAGAATCTGACATGCCAAGACTGCAAGCACTAGAATTAAACTAGTTATACTCAGCCTCTCCCATGCCAACCAACAGGTGAAAACCAAGCTAAATTCACTAAAGATCAAGAAGAAATCCTGCAAAATTCACTTCACATGGCCTACTCCTCATCTGAAGGATTATGATTTTTCAGTTTAATATTTTGTTTGTAAATATATTAATTTATCAAGGGAGAATTTTGTAATGAATGACATATGGAAAATAAAATAGAATACTTGTATTTTGTAAAAATTATTAATGGAGATGTTTACTTTAGTTAATAAAAAGCCCCGAATTTTGTTTTTATCTATGGAGTGATATCCACAATTCAACACAACTGGTGCTAAGGAACCCAGCAAGACTGTTTTCAGTTACGGAGAAACAGAATCCAAAGGGAAAAATTAATACCAGTTTGTATTTGAGACAGGCAGAAGTTTTCGAAAAGTGGAGAAATATTACTCAACTTCACTGCAATTTAAAGAAAATTGCTGTAGGCTTATAGCATTTGCACGAGATTTAGCTCTTTGGAACAAAAGGCATGTTAAAAGAGGTAAGCAAATTAGGGTGTACAAATGGGGTCATTCTAGTGTGACTGGGACAGTAAAAATGAAGAGAAGGCAAATGCACTGCGTGACACATTTATTCTCACACGGATAGCTCTCCAGAAACTTGATGATTTAAAAATCTCCATGTAAGAAGTTATGTTTTAAACCATGTATAATCTTAGAGCAACAAGGACAAACATACCCGTGGCAGAATATTCATTTATGATGGTGATTCTTGTAGTTAATCATTCACTGAACAGTATGAGCTGTGTTGCTTCTTTATTCTACTAATTTTTAGTTACCTCATGCAGATGGATTACAAGAAGCATCCAAATTAAGCAGTACGGTCATTTCCTATCTTCAGCCTACAGAAAGCATACATGATCAATTACCTCCTGTAATTCAGAGCAGCCAATGTCCCAGTGCTGTTTTATTTTATCCTAAAGAAGAAAAAATAAATATGCATCATTGCAATAGGCATCACAAAACAGAAAGTACAAAATATTAGCATTGACTAGGAAATAAAAAGAATAAATTGGCATTTCACATTTTAGCACAAACATAAAATGTAAGCCATGATGTTATTATGATCATTCATCTAAACTTTTAAAGACCTTCTTCTACATGCCAAACTCTTTGCTGGATAGTAGATTGCAAAAATAAATAAAGTGTAATCTCTTCCTGAGAGAATTCTGCCAAATAATGAAAGAGAAAAACTATGTTGCTAAATTAAAGTGTAAATAAAAGTAGCTTTAAAGACAAAGTTGAGTCAAATATATGACCCCATCGGTTTCTATCTTAAAAAAAAAAACAAAAAAAACTTAAGATTGGAGGAATAGAAACTGTTGAGAGGACAAATTGATCTGACTCAAAGGTCAGATCAAAATGGAAAATTAAAAAACTGCCTGATTTCCAATATCACTGATGATACTTAGTATCTCATTGATCTACTTCATTCACAAAAGAATCTGGAGATGAAACAAAGAATAATAGAATAAACACTGGTCTCAGAATCAAAAGTTTTGCTCCCTACTTCACTCGAAGCAATGTATGTAACTTCTCTCATTCTTAATTCCAACACATAAAAAAATAGGATGACAAAACATTCCTCAAGCAAGCTTATAAGGATAAAAGGTAAAAAATAATATAAATCAGTAGAAGACTATAGCTATCAACATCCCAATGGTATTGAAAATGAAGTAGAAAAATTATTAAAATAAAATGATACAGTGTGCTCAGAGGACGCCCATTTAAACCTCATGTAATCAAGGACGGAGTCAGGTGTTCCTGATTGGTTTGTTTTCTGGTGCTGGGATTGGTGGTGTGAGTGCTGCCTTCGCCCAGGGGTGGAGCCAGATACAGTGAAAGGGTGGGAAGAGGTGTGGCTTCTCTCTCTTGCTAGTTCTCAGTGGCCATGAACAGCTGTCCCCCAGCCTTGTCACCCTGCCTTGCAGCCAGCTGAGTATGGACTGAAACCTCCAAGAACTATCAGAAGTAAATCTTCCCTTCCCTAATTTTGGGCCTCAGATATTTTATCTCAGCAACTAGAGAAAAGTAATCAAAACAAATGGCTGCGTACTCCAAGACAAGTTTTAAAAGATGTAGTTATAATTAATTATTATGGGCCAACATCGTCCAGTGTTTAACTTTATATTATTTTAATTCTTTCTTCTTCGCTTCTCCATAGACATGGGACTTGCGCTTGTGCACGCCCTTTGTACTTTGCTGACAGCAAAATGTTGTGATGTATAAATCATCTAACTGCTTTGAGTAAAAGAACCAAAATTTATGACAGAGTTTCTAGAAGACAATTTAATAAACGTGATTCCAAAACAGAACTACTTGGGCCAAACAGAAGGAAAAAACAGTCTTGTTTTTTTTGTTTTTTTTTTTTTTTTTTTTTTTTTTTTTTTTTTTTTTTTTTTTTTTTTAGATTTTATTTGAAGAAAGGAAAAAAAAAGTAAAAAGGGTACAAGTATAGAATTTCAAAAAAAAATTAACACTAAGAAATCACTAGTTAATAGATTACATATTATCATCTTAGAAATATTTGTTCAAGTTACAAAATTAAAGCATATAAAGTGGACATTCAAACAGTGAGAGTGCAAACAGTTGTGTTCAGTGATCCAACAAAAACTCAGTAATATGGTTATCTATCTTACACACCCAAACACACTTGCAGTTGTGTCTTTTAGAGCACTTCCTTTTCCTCTCGTTTTTACAATAACAATTACACATTTTTGTTTTATTACTCCCACAGTTCTTATTAAGTTTTTTTTTTTGGAAGAGAATAAAACCAATGTGACAAAACAAAGCAGAGTCAGTCAAAACAAAGGATGGACATAGTACATGATGTAAAAGCAGAATACAAGGTAATCAACAATGGTTACCATAATGCCTCTTGCTACCTTAAAAAGAATTGCCATCAGGTCTTGAACAAAACCAATAAAACATAAACATTGGAGACATTACAAAACTTCAAAAGAAGATAATAGTCAAACCAGAATGGGCATCATAGTGAATCTTATTACCTTCAAAGTAGTTGCCTATACCCTCAAACTTGATACTATCGAACAAAACAAAGTAGAGTAAAATCAGTCAAAACAAGATGGAGAGCAATATAGGGCTTCAAATCAAGTTAATAGGAAATCAAAATGTTACTATAATATATCTGGCTAATTTTAAAATGTTTTCCCTTAATTAAAAATAATAAAAATTTTTAAAAGGAAGAGATTGAGATAAAAGAGGACATAAAAACATAACAATATCAGTCACAACAGAACAATTTGAGCAACACAGTGTTTCACCACAAGATAACCTGACTTAAGTCAAATATTTCCTTGAAATATTTGAGTGTAACTTCGTATACTATAGCATCAAACATATCAAGATGGTGTGAAACCATTCGAGAGAATGAAAGTATTGCAAGGTATTTAGAACCAGCTAACAGAAAACGAACAATGGTTTCTATATTATCTCTTTGCCCATAAAAATTTTGTTTAAATACTGTCACATATAATAAAATCCAATAAGATACAACATGATAAACAGTTTGCTGGGACTTCAAAACAAGATGATATTAAATCAGCACTAGCTATTGTGATGTCTTTTTTCTTCAAAATAGCTGTTCATATCATCACAGACAATAAAATCAAACAGCACAGAGTAAAACCATTCTAATTAATGAGTGAAAACTTTATAAGGCTTCAAAGCTATATAATGGTGAATCATGATTACCACATGCTTTTGTATATTCTTATCATTTCGTATACTAGGGAAACTATTCGGTATTTATACATGTGAGTTTGATTTATTTCATTTATGAGTATGGTCTCAAGCTACGTCCATTTATTTATGAATGTCTCAATGTGATCATTCTTTATAGCTGAGTAGTACTCCATTGTATAAAAATACCACAACTTTTTTATCCATTCTTCAGTTGATGGACATTTAGGTTGTTTCCAAGATCTGGCTATTACAAATTGTGCTGTTATAAATATGGGTGCACATATATCACTGTAGTATGATGCTCTCAGTTCTTCTGGAAATATGCCTAGAAGTGGTACAGCTGGGTCAAATGGGGACTCAGGTTCCAGTTTTCTGAGAAATCTCCAGACTGACCTCCACAATGGTTGCACTAGTCTACACTCCCACCAACAGTGCAGGAGAGTTCCTTTTTCCCCACAGCCTCTCCAGCATTTGTTGTTGGTGGTTTTCTTGATCTTGGCCATTCTTTCAGGAGTGAGATGAAATCTCAGTGTGGTTTTAATTTGCATTTCTCTAATGACCAATGATGATGAACATTTTTTCATATATTTACTTGCCGTTTGTATTTCTTCATCAGAGAATTGTTTATTCATCTCAGATGCCCACTTTTGGATTGGGTCTTTGAATTTTGGGGGTCTGAGTTTTTTTAATTCTTTATATGTTGTAGACAGAAGTCCTTTGTCTGAGGGGCAGTTCACTAAGATTTTTTCCCAGTTTGTGGGTTTTCTTTTCACTATGCTGGAGACTTCTTTTGATGTGCAGAAACTTTTTAATAAGAAGTGATCCCAGTTATTGATCTGGGAATTATTTCCCATGTGGTTTGAGTCCTATTCTTGAATTCTCTACCTACTCCTATGTCTTCAAGGTTTTTACTCAATTTGTCTCCCAATAGATTTAGTGTTTCTGTTTCCATATTTAGATTTTCGATCCATTTAGATTTTATTTTAGTACCTAGTGATAGGCATGGGTCTAGTTTTAGTTTTTAACATATGGAGAGCCACTTTTTCCAGCACCATTTATTAAAGAGACTGTCATTCTCCCAGTTAACATGTTTGGCACCTTTATCGAAGATAAGGTGGTTGAGTGTGTTTGTAGTTGTGGTTGTATCTTCTAATCTATTCCACTGATCTTCAGCTCTGTTTTGATTCCAGTACCATGTTGATTTTACTATGGTTGCTTTGTAGTATAACTTCAAGTCAGGGATTGTGATATCTCCTGCCTTACCTTTGCTGCTTACAACTGTCCTTGCAATTCTAGGTCTTTTCTCACTCCAGATGAATTTTAGGAGTGATTTCTCGAGTTCTGTGAGGTATGTTGATGGTATTTTTATTGGGACTGCATTGAATCTGTATAAAAGTTTTGGGATAATGGCCATTTTCACAATATTTATTCTTCCTGTCCATGAGCAAGGGATGTAATTCCATTTTCTGAGAGCATCTTCAATTTCATTTTTCAGTGTATTATAATTTTCCTTGTACAGGTTTTTCCTTCTTTCATGAGAGTAATTCCTAAATATTTCATTTTTTTGGTTGATAGTGTGAAGGGTGTGGCTTCACTTATTTCTCTCTCTGTGACTTTGTTGTTAGTGTATAGAAATGCTATTGATTTTTGAGTATTGATTTTGTATCCAGCTACATTACTGAATTTATTTATTATATCTAAGAGCCTTTCAATGGAGTTTAGGGGTTCTTCTATATAGAGTATCATGTCATCTGCAAATAATGATAGCTTAACTTCTTTTCCTATCTTTATGCCTTTTATTTCTCTCTTTGTCTAATTGCTCTGTCTAGTACTTTTATTACTATATTAAATAGGAGTGGTGATAAAGGACATCCTTGTCTTGTGCCTGATTTTAAATTAAAGGCTTTCAATTTTTGGCCATTTAGTATGATGCTGGCTGTTGGTTTGTCATAAATGGCCTTTATTATATTGAGGTAAAGACCATCTATTCCAGTTTTCTGTAAAGTTCTTATGAATGAATGTTGGACCTTATCAAAGGCTTTTTCTGCATCTATAGAAATGATCATGTAACTCTTACTTTTGGCTTTATTGATATGGTGGATTACATTTATTGATTTACGTATGTTGAACCATCCCTGCATGCCTGGGATGAATCCCACCTTGTCATGGTATATAATCTTCTGGATGATTTGCTGCATCCTGTTTGCCAATATTTTATTGAGGATTTTTGCATCTGTGTTCATTAGGGAGATTGGTCTATAGTTCTCTTTTTTAGTTGGGTCTTTCTCAGGTTTTGGTACTAGAGTAATATTTGCTTCTGGAATGACTTAGGAAGGATTGTTTCTTTTTCAATTTCATTGAATAGTTTGAAGAGTATTGGCATTAGGTCTTTGTTGTATTTCTTGTAGAATTCTGCAGTGAATCCGTCTGGGCCTGGGCTCTTCTTTGTAGGTAAGGATTTAATTATGTTTTCAATTTCATTAATAGAAATTGGGTTACTCAGTAGTTTTACATCTTCATGACCTAGCTTTGGTACTTCATATGCTTCTAGGAATCTGTCCATTTCCTGTGTGTTATCAAACCTTTGAGAGTAGAGGTTTTCGAAATAGGTGTTGATGATTTTCTGTATTTCTATAGGGTCTGTAGTGATTTCTCCTCTTTCATTCCTTATTGCATGAATTTGTATTTTTTCTTCCCTTTTTTAAATAAGGTTGGCTAGGGGCTTATCAATTTTATTTATTCTTTCATAGAACCAACTTTTTGATTCATTGATTTTTTGGATTGTTTTCTTAGTCTCTATTGCGTTGATTTCTGCTCTGATTTTTATAATTTACTTCTTTCTTTTGGCTTTCGGCTTGACTTGCTTTTCTTTTTTCTAGCTGTTTGAGTTGTAGCATCAGGTTATTTATTTGTATTCGTCCTGTTTTCCTGATGTGGGAACTCAGTGCAATAAATTTTCCTCTGAGAATGGCTTTCATTGCATCCCACAGATTCCGGTAAATTGTATTTGTGCTTTCATTTTCTTGTAGGTAGTGTTTAATTTCTTCTTTAATTTCCTCTGTGACCCACTGATTATTCAAGAGTGTGTTATTCAGTTTCCATGTGTTCATGGGAATTTTGTAGTATCTTTTATCATTAATTTCTAATTTCATAGTGCTACGGTCTGAAAGCATGCAAGGGATGATTTCAACCTTTTTGAATTTATTTAGATATGTTTTGTGAGTTAATATATGGTCAGTTTTAGAAAATTACCCATGCACTGCTGAGACGAATGTGTATTCTGTTGTTGTTGGGTGGAATACTCTGTATATGTCTATTAAGTCTATTTGTTCACAGGTGCAATTCAGTTCTTGTATTTCTTTGCTGATTTTCTGTCTGGTTGATCTGTCAATTGGTGTCAATTGTGTGTTAAGATCTCCTGTTAGAATTGTGTCACTGTTAACTTGGTTTTTCATTTCTGTTAGTACTTGTTTTATATAACTGGGTGCTCTGGAATTTGGTGCATATATATTTAAGATAGTTATCTCTTCCTCTTGGAGTTTTCCCCTAACCAGTATGTAGTGACCTTCTTTATCACTTATGATCATTATTGGCTTGAAGTTCACATTGTCTGCAAACAGAATAGCCACCCACACTTTTTGGAAGGTTTTTGTTGCATGAAGTACTGTTTTCCATCCTTTGACTTTCAGTCCGTGGGCATCCTTTTGGGTTGGATGGGTTTCTTATAGACAACATATGGTTGGATTTTGTTTCTTGATCCATTCTGCCAGTCTATTTCTTTTAATTGGTGCATTGAGACCATTTACACTAATGGTTATAACTGTTATATATTGGTTTACTGTTGACATGTTATCTTTCTGCTATTGCATCTTTATCTTTCAGTTCTATTTAATTGTCTGCTTTGTTTAGTGTTTTTTTCCTAAATGTATCTAGGCTTTCTTTCAGTATTCTTTGCAGGGTTGCTTGGTGATAATGTAGTTTTTCAGCTGTTCTTTGTCATGGAAGTATCTTATTTCTCCATCGATTTTGAAGGACAGTTTTGCAGCGTATATCAGTGTAGGTTGGAAATCATTTTCCTTTAGGATCTGAAATACTTCACTCCATGCTCTTGTTGACCTTATTGTTTGTGCTGAGAAGTCTGCTGTGATTCTGATAGGTTTTCCTTTATAGGTGATCTGTCATTTCTCTGTGACAGCTTTTAATATTCTATTCTTTGTTCGATTTCTGGGATGGCCATTATTATGTGTCTAGGTGTAGTTTTATTTCAGTTATGGCTATTTGGGGTTCTATGTACTTCATTGATCTTGATATCAGTTTCCACTCTCATGTATGGGAAATTTTCAGCTATTACTTCTCTAAATATCCTCTTGACATCCTTTATGTTGTTCCCTTCTTTTTCATTTATCCCTATTAACTTTATGTTGTTCCTCTTTGCGTCATTTCGCAGGTGTTGAATTGTTATTTCCTGATTTCTTGTTATTTTTAAAAGATCTTTCCTTTCCTGTTCACTGGCTGCAATCTTGCTTTTGAGGTCTGAAATTCTATCTTCACATTCATTGAGGCAGTTTTTACAGCTTTCGATGGAGTTTTTGATTTCCTGTATATCTATTTGCATCTGCTTTATATATTCTGCTTGTTTCTCATATTGTTCATCCAGGGATTCTATCTTTTTGTTTATCTCCTCCAATTTTTTAACTGTGTCTTCTTTAGATATGTTCAGCATCTCCTTCATTTCTTCTTTTTCTAGTTTGAATTCCTTTAAGGCTTCCCAGAGTTGCTTTGTTATTTCAGTTACTATTATTTCAGGAATTTCAGTTATGTAACATGTATTTTCTTCTATGCACATGGCTCCTAGGCTTTCTTGGGATGGGCTGGATGTTTGAGACTGCATTTTGGTCTTTCATTTTGTCATTTTCCTACATTTTCAAGCTTCAAGTGTTGCTTCAAGTGAGGGAGAGAGGTCAGCCAGGCTGGGACAGAATTCCCTGCCCCCTCCTTACTCACTGATCTTGACTGGAAGTCCGGGCCTGGTCCCCACTTGAGAAGAGAGCCCTGCCGGGCTGGGATGGGGCTCCCCGCCTCCCTTGGACCCACTACACCCAACAGGAGGCTGGATCCTGGCCCCCATTCAAAGAAAAGAGTTCACCAGACTGGGGCAGGGTTCCCTGCCTCTGATGGACTTGTCTGACGGGGAACGGGAGCCTGGCCCCCAGGTGAAGAAGAGTACTGTGCCTCCACGGGACCCAGTTGTCCCAACAGGGAGCCAGAGCCTGATCCCCAGGCAAGAAGACAGTTTGGGCCTCCACTGGACTCACTCGACCCAGTCAGAAATCTTTACTCTTTTTTTAACACAACAAATAAATTTCCAGGTCCTGATGGATTTACTGCTGAATTCATTAATAAGATCCACAGTCTGCACGAAGGAGATTTATATAGGAAGAATCATATTGTCACTTGTTAAACTTCTTCCTGCTGGCTCTCAAAATGGATCCATGGGTAGGCTGGTGTAACAGTTTTCGGAGGTTTCAGGGCACACTTAGTTGGCTCCCAAGCAGGCGGGCATGGCTGGGCCGCCTTTCATGGCGGCTGCAAACAGCAAACAGAAGTCTTGTATTCTAATATAATATCTGTTTTCAAGTTCCAGAATATCCTCTTAGATTTATAGGGGGGCTTATTCAAAGCATAAGAATAGTTTTGTGTCATATAAAGAGGAACAAAAAATGTGCTGTGTATTAAGTATACAGAAAGCACTCACCAGAAACGATCTGCTGCTGCCTTGACCATGAAACTCTTAGCTTCTGAAACTAATTTCCATTGCTTGTGATCCACCTAGTTTATTATATTTTCAATATATAAACTTAGTCCATGGGAAAGCAAAGTAACATCTAAAGCAGAAGAAAATGAATAATCATGATACTTGAGTTTAAAATTTTAAACATTCAAAGATTCAATGGATAAAGCTTTTTTAATAAGTAAAATTGTACACAAGTATTTATTGAACTGAGGGAATTATAAGAAAGATCCCATAGCTGTACCAATGGATCTCTCAGATATAGCACAGAAAAAGTTAAAGGTTCTGAAAATCTAATCACATTTGCTATCAAATCTTCAGCTTCACATTGAAATATAATTTACCTCCCTAGAGGTACTCCACTTTCCATCTTCTAATTTTGTTTTGGATTCTATAGGTTAGGAAGTCAAGTATGTTTTGTTGTTTTTCTTCTATCTCTTTGATGTTTCCTGTATTAAATTTCTTGCTTCTGATTACTGAAAACCTACAGTCCAGGTAAAAAAGAGAGTAAAAACTAAAAAAGGTCACACTAGCCTGGTGGCATGGTATGGCATCAATGGGCCCACATGGCAGAAAGTGGTTAAGTGTGGAAGTTATCCTGTAAGTGTTTGTCTTGTGAGTTTCTACAAGTCCCTCATTTATCCCCCAGAACTCCTTCAATCTCGAGACTCCAACTTGACATTCTCCACAAAGCTCTCTTCACTGGGCTTTGTGGTTTCCTTTCAAGATAATCTAAAACCATCTTTCTTCCTGAGGAGTTCAGCTTCAAACCATGAGAAGCAATCTTTCCACTTTGATGGTGTAGGTGAAATTTATATGTACAGTGCTCTCACCTCACTCCAACCAGGTCAGTCAGGTGGGTTTTGGTATCAACATTCCTCAAATCCAATGAACATTCAACAAGCTTTTGTTTGCATACTCTTGACCTCCATTCATGCTGCTTGGAATGAATGAGTAATCATGGGCAGGAAAGAGAAACCACACAAGTCCCTGATTTCCGTGTTTCCATTACACTAGCTCCTCTCAGACAGTCCAGATATACAAATAGCGAAACCAGAGCCACAGTTTCCTTGCTTGTCCTATTAGTCTGGCCTGGTGCTTAATTACCTTTAATCTCTGGATCCCTGGAGGAGTTCTGAAATCACAGATTTACTTCTCCTTATTATGTCACAGCATTAAGGACTGGATTACAAAAGACCTGAGCACTAGGAAGATCAGGTATGGTGAACATTGGATGATAATAAATTTTGAAAACTTTAAATAGAGCAAAGTCATTAAGTGATGTCCCTATTAACAGAAAACTGAAAAAGCAAAACAACAAATTAGAGGCTCAACAGTGTTTTACATTAAAGATTTAGGCGAGATAGCAATGTTATCCTCTTACAGGTTAGATTTTACACTTTGTTTGTGTGAAGAAGCAAACATGCCAAAGACTTCAGGCTTATATTTATAATCCTGAAATCCTTCTACCATAGCTATTGTGGAAAACTAGCTCTGTTATCCATATTGAAAAATAATTACTTTAGGCATCAGTGAAATATGCCCTACTACAGATAAATTATTATCATGTCTCAAGGTAGAAGAAATGAAAACTAAACCTAGCTTGAAAATGTTAAAAATGTCATTTAGGAGAAAGAAAACACAAGCACCACAAACATGTCTCAAGATGCCTACAAAATACGTGATTATGGCAGAGACTATCGTTATCTTCAGGATAAGAAAAACCGGAGAAGTTGCCCACTGCGTGTTAATAGGCTGTTCTTTTAACCATAGCTAATTTCTTATTTATGACAAAATCTATATTGCCTGAGGCAGTTACTTAAAATCTCATTATACTGAGTATTTGAAAGTTTTAGAAACAAAATAAAAGCAGTATTAACAATAAATATTGATTTCAGCCCTAAATGAGTATGTGTGAACTCCATTGCTTTTTAGGGGCAGGAACAAAGAAAGGAGAAAAAGAGAGAGAAAGACAGAGACAGAGACAGAAACAGATACACAAAGAAATTCTAATACTTTAAATCAAAATCACAATGCCGGTGTTAAGTTTTTCGTTTGGCTTTTAACATTTTGGTATTGTGCTACTTATTCATCACTGGTCATGTAGCTCCCACTCAAGTTTTAATACAGATGTAAGGGGATCATTTTGTTCATATTTCATTGGAAGTACATTTTCATATTAATACCCTTTTCCTTATACAATTTAAAACATATTCTGTGTGAATCAATGAGTGTTAAAGTGAAAGATCACATAGTCAAAACAATGTTAGAATGATTGCATTAGAAATTTATTTTATCTATTCACTAAAGCCTTTAGAGACTATTTTAAAGTTAATGGAGTAGTTTGTATTTTCACTTTTATTGATTTATTAAAATGTGGCCAAATATTAAGAAAAATAATTTGTAACAATCAAATATTTTATTAATTCTCAATAGCACTGTTGAGTCCACCATACCCTTCTACTTTATCTTATTACATGTCCCCCTGCACACCATCAGGACCTCTTGTTCCATATTCTATTTCTTCTAATTTTAGTTTTGTCTCATCTGTCCATAACTCCACTATGATCCTACTTCCTCATGAGGACCCACACGGATGCATTCAATATGTTCTTGTGTATCAATAGATCCTACATGGCACGTACTATTTGGAGGAAGAGGAAATATGGTTTTAAATTTACAAGCTAATCTTTTACAAATTTGTCATTCAATAAAATTTTTGAAATTTACATTGTTCCATGAATACTTAGATTTTTCTTTCCTGCAACTGCTTCATATTCTACTTTACTGATATTCAGCCTTTCACAAATATATCACTGTCCTAATTAATACCCAGTGTTGCCCCACCTCCCAGCAATCATGACTTGTGCTGCAGAGAGCATCACTGTACTTGTCATTTTAGACCTCTATGAAAACATTGCTAGGCTAAAATACCCAGGAGCGAAAGCACTGCACAGCATATAAACACATGATTTCAGTAAGTGCAGCTATATAGACTCAGCACAGTCATACATATGTACATCTCCGACAGCTATAATGATTTAGTGATAGCTATCTTAGTATTTGTCATCTAATGAAGTAATTTTAAATATTGTTTAACTTCCATCTGCTTACCTCGACTTTGCATTTTCCTAATGTGTTGAAGTTCCTCTTTATAAACTTAGTCATCTAGGCCTCCCTTCCCTCCAAACTTTTATTCATCCATTTTTCCCATTTTAATACATGTTAATACCTTGTCAGTTCTAAACACATGTCTACATGTTAATACTTTGTCAGTTCTAGACACTACAGACACCTTTTATTTCTGTCATTATCTGTCACATTTTTTCATGGAGTTGTATTCAATATATATCATTAATTTTGAAAATTGTCAACTTCATCAATTTTACCCACATAAATTTTATGCAGTAGTTTAACATGTAATAGAAGTTTTCTCATAGTTTTAGGGCTCAAGACTATTCACCTACATTTAAGAAAAGGCAATTTGTAAGTAGTTTAAAGCAACTTTGTGGCAGTACAAATCTGTTTTCAGTTTCCATTCATTTATATAAGAGAGTACAGGATACTATTTGTGAACGCAATTATTTTGATTGTAATCATAAAATAGTGTATTTATCCAGATAATACAAAGCAGTTCCATGGAAATAGCAATTAAGATCCCTAGATAAGCCATAATTTATTTTAGGTTTCATTAGTACTTATGAAAAAAAAAAAGGATTAGAAAAGACAGATAAATGTCATACAGTAATTATTGAGCAATCCTTTAAAAATTGTCACTGTTAAAGTCATATCCATGAATTCAAAACTAACCTGAAATTAAAAATGAGTGATTGAAAAAGATGCCAATAATATGAATATTTCTAAGACCTGCCACAAGGAAGAGAAAGTAGGAGACAAACATTCACCAAGAAATAATTATATGATGATTTCTTCCCAATTGACAAAAATGTCATCTCTCCACTAAATTTTTTTACTTGCTTATAACTATACAAAACTGTCAAAATTCAGTTCTTGTAAGATTCTTAGATATGCACTATTTTTTTCTACATGAGTTTAGAATGAACTCATGTTATTTATAGCACTTTACTTGTATTTTGATGAAAAAATCATTCATGTACATTTCCAGCTCTCACTGCACAATGAGCATGGATGAGGACTTCAACACCAATAACAGCAACAGTCTCCCACCTCAAATCCTCATGCTTGCTGAATGCTTCAGTACTTTATACTAAGCAGAAGTACTGGTTCCTTAGAAATAATGTCGAACTTTTTGCTTGCTCTTGGTTTTTCTCTCTCTGTTTCTGTTTCTCTGACTTTGTGTCTTTCTCTGTATTTCTCTCCCTCCCTCCCTCTCTCTCTCTTTCTCATACTCCTTACTCCCCTCTTTGTTCTCAACTATAATTTCATCTTTATCTAATTGTGAAAACGCCCTAAATCCACCATTTACATCAATAAGTTTATGTATAGAAACAATGTCTAAATTGATTCTCTCAGGACCTGAGCTGTTATGAATAATACTGCAGAACTATTAGATATAATTTGAGGGTTAATACTATATTTCTCAAAAGTCATGGGATGAACATAAAAATTCCTGTGAAACATAAAAAGCAATTTAAGAAAGTTTCAGATTTTCAAGTCTTTCTGTGCTTGTAATTTGGCTGCAAAAAATGAAAACAAAAGCAATTTAACCCTATATACAATAATATATTATAAAAATCAATATGTTTTGAGACTGTATCATTTCACAAACAAATTTTCTTTACAAACCTTTAGTAATTCAGGATTTCTTTAATGTGACTAAAATGAGTTCAAATTTTGAAAGAAAAAAGGAGAAAGGACAAACCCAAATGATAACACTGCATTTCCTAATACTTTTTTCAAAGTTTCATGCATGATAGTGATTAATGATCCCTGACTTTGGCCGTCCCTTATCAAGCTCCTTCAGGTCCTGACTCAGAAGTGAAGTTTCACCTTTATCTTCCTGATCAAGGGTATAGGAGTCTTCTGGATAATGACAGACTACAAATGAAGAGTCCTTAAACTGGAGAGATAAAGACTGAGAAGTATGATAAAGAAGTTCAAAATCATGAAGTT